TTCACATAAATGTCAGCGTTAATGTTTCATCTTGGATTTTAGAATTTTTTTTCAGCTCTACATGGATTGAGTACAAAAAAATGTGATGAAAATTTTTATATGTAACTTTGTAATGGCATAGCCAGGAACATCAGCCCCCTCTTTCCCCGAAAGTATAGAATATTTTTTAAATTCTTACCATGATCTCTAAAAACAGTTGATACGGTCTTCTAACTGACTTTCAACTGTTATCATTGATTTTTAAGTCGATTTTATCGTTCACTTCTAAAGTTAAAAGTTATTCAATATTTGGTATATATACCAAATATTGAATCGTTATGCAAATATCGTTATGCATTGTCTCGATGACACAAAAGGATAGTATTACGTTGTTTTTTATTATTATTAAGGTAATAAATAATATTGTTTCGAAATTTTGACGGAGTGTCGTAATAGCGATTTATATAAATTTCTTTTATAATGACTACAAAAAGAGAATCTCAAATATTTTAAGTTTTTTAAAAAAAAAAAAAAAAAAGTGAATAGCTAACATTATCAAGTATAATTAATATGAGTATAAATTACTCATTTTCGTAAAGAATTCAATTAATTTTTTCATAATGAAGTAATTGTATTTAAAAAAAAAAAAAATTTGATGAATAACTTGTTTGTATTATACTTTTAAGAAAAATTACTGAAACATTGAAAAGAAACTTTTTATAATTTAAAATTTTATTTTACTTAATTAATTTACTTAAAAATAATACACGCCAAACGTCTCAAGTACAGTGTAATTAATATAAATTTGAATTACAAATAAAATATAATACTAAATCATTAACAATAACAATTAAAATTGAAAAACATCATACAATATATACATTTAGGATTGCAAGATTAACATAATAAAAAATCAAATTTACTTATCTTATTACATTTTAAAACTATTCTGTTTAGTAGTGCGTTATAACCAGTTGGTGTTCTATGATATGATTCAGAGAATGTTAGTTAAGAACGTGATAATAAGTGAAAGATATTTGGGGACAAGAGATTTGGTCATCCAATAATGTGTACATAAATGCAACATCGAGAAAATGACGTTTTTTAACCAGATTATCTAAGTGTAAGACATAACCGAAACATAATACAAAGTTTTAAGATATTAATTATCATTAAATTCGTAAGTGTTGCGGATGACAAAACCCAAAGTTTTAAGCGTTTCAGTTCTTATATTATCAGTATGAACATTAAATAAAAAATTGGACTCTAATAAAACTCCTAAATCTCGGACAACTATTTGTCCGTGTAAAATTTCACCCAACACATTGTAATAAAATATAACTTTTGACAGAATAATATCTCAATACACTTTATCGTATTGAGATTTTATTATCATTATCTAAACACCATAGACTAAAACGATTAATATTTTCTTGCATTTTAACACAGTCGCCTGTTGACTATTTGGTATCATAAATTTTTAAATTATCTTCAAATAACTGATGGTTACAGTACCTAAACTAAGACTCAATATTGCTAATAAATATTTTAAAAAGTACAAGGGAGAGATGTTCATCTTATGGGTCGCTAAATGGATGGTGTAAAAGTTCAGACAGATATCCATTGACTTAAATAAAATTTGTGACCTATTGTTGAGATATGAACTATATCATGATAGCAGAGGGTTAGAAATACCACATGCGAGAAGCTTTTAAGCAGCAAAATATGATTTACCGAGTCAAAAGTCTTGATAACGTCCGCGTATACAATATCAATTTGATACTAGTTTAGCTGTATTTCCTTATCCGTTGTAGAAACACAGTAATTTAGTTTCTATAACAAAGTTAAGAGGAATTTTAAAACATTTTTATAGGAAAACGAAAAATAATGAAGAACTTCTCGAGAAATTTCAGTAAGGATGACATTTTAGAGATAGGCGTTTAGTTTAAAACAGAATTTTATTGTCAGATTTATGATAAGGAGTTACGAAACTAACTTTACATAAAGGAGTAACAATTCCTAGATTTAAAGAATGATTAAAAATGTGTATGGATAGAGGTACATAATGAATTCTTACAGTATCGCAATAAAATATTTAAAATATATTATGGTCAGGACAAGGATCAGAGCTTAAATTTTAAGGTCATTAAAAATATCTTTTATTGAAAATTTTATGGTGGACATATCTGCTATATTATTAAAATATGAATGAATTAATTTAGACGACTCTAATCGGGTCATCTAAAACAGTTTTAAAAGAGGTCTTAAAAAGATATGCAACGTCAGTGCCACTGGCACAGTTTTTATTATTTTAAGACATTAAGATATACCATTATAATTTTTAAGATTATTTACAAGAGGCTGAAAATATTTAGATTTTCTAGAAAAATTAGTTTGAAATTTATTAAAATATCGAGACCGACTAAGTTTTCATTATTCTTTACACAATGTCCGAAGGTGGTAAAATTTGTTATAGATTGATGGATTTTCGGTTAGTTTGTAATATTTATGCGGGCGTTTTTTATTTATTGTAAGTATAATTCTAATTTAAATTCGGGATAGGATGGCTACTGAAGTATTATCTTGAGCTGAAACTTTGATTTTAATAGATTAAATATTACAATGTACAGATGCCATAATATTATTTAGCGATAATAATGGTAGTATAAGTTTTATATTAAAAAAAGTAATTACTGACGGAACCTCGCTAATTTTCTAAGTTATACAATCTAATCTTACATAAAAATAAGTAGCAGATTAATCATGTAGACGTACTATTATTATTTCTAACCTATTCAGGAACTAAAGCCTCGGAATTGACATACTAAACATATATGAGCGACCACTATCTCTGTTTGTAACAAAATTATATAAACCCCGTATAAAAATTCTGGGTACGCCACTGGAACTTTGTATTCTCTACACTTCAAGAAACATTGATTCGTGTTCGAATTCGAATAAATAAAAAATGTAAAGCAAATTTGTACATTATATAAGCTGTCTTTCGGAGCACGTATTTACCTATACCGAACCTTATTACCATTGGCATTGACGGGGAAACGCAGTCGGAGAGTTTGTGTGTGCGAGTGCGTATATTATATTTTATATTTTATATTCGACTTGAGTGGATTTGAGTGCCAGTGTACACTTTATGCATACGCGACTTATTTCTTATGTCAGTGTCAATTGAAAGGGTAGAGAAATAGAAATTCAGCGAAACGCAAAAATCAAATCCGAGACGCCGAGATAATTCGATATAAGGGAGAAGCGAGAAAAAAAAAAAAAAAATAATAATAATATATAAACCCAGGCGAGTGTCTCAAAATCGAATGTCGACAGCAAAATGTGAACACACATGAGTGTAATGTAGTATTCATAAATAAATATATATATATATATATATATATTTACACATTTACCGTGTGTCTGTTCAAAGAGAGCGTATTACTCGAAGGAATGGGTTGCAAAGGCTGCGAGAGAAGGCAGACATACGTGTACGTGTGTGGAGAGTGTTTGGCAATTCGAATTTCTACTTGAGCTTTATCGATTGGACGTACACCGTGCGAAAAAAAAAATGTACAGTTTAATGCGATTGTTTTATGTACTATCAATATGTGTCATCCTTGGCGGCGGCATACACGGGTAATATCAGCAAAGAAAGGGCGAAGGAGTTTTTCCTTAAGACGTCATAGCAACCGCGACAATTTTCAGCAGGTGGTTCTTTCATCTCTCTTACGCCAACACAATAATAATTAAATTATCGACCCCCGGAAACCTCGTGACCTTCTCGAAGCTTTAGGAACGTGAGCCAATTATTTCCCCTCTCTAACGACGCCGAGAAATGCATTCAAGGACGAAGTAACGGCTGGGGGTTAATACTCTGGTTATTATCGTTTTACCGTGTAATTACACAGAAACTGCACTCAAAAGACTTTCACACGAGGTTTGCAATAAACACGAAATATGTCAATTAGTGTGCAACGTTTGTATCGTATCGCGATTGCATTTCGAATGGAAATCGACAATAACCCGAAACGTTTTACATCGCAGACAAGGTGCGATGGTCGGGAACGACATGAACGAAGAGGGTTCGCCCTTGTGAATGATTGCCTAATATTAATTTACCGACCAACGTTTGTTGTGTAACGCATAAAAAAATGAAACCTGCTCGGGACGCGTTCAATTTATCACGAAAGAGCGTTACGTTCTGTAGGTTAGCCGTTCGCAGTGACGGCCTTGGCACAACATTGCGCGTTTTTTTTTTTTTGTAAAAAATATTGCCGCATTAGGATAAGCTTTTTGAGTCTCTTAAAAACAACGCGGAACAATGAAAATGTCAGGGGCTTGTTTTACGTCGCTTTTAGTTCGTTTTAATCGCTACTCAACCATGATAACCCTCTCAGCAGGAACTCTCTGGCACGTCGCTTCACGTTCGACATGTTTACCCGCAACACAAAACTCATCATTATAAATTACAATAATAATATGAATACTGTTTCATTTATAATGCTAAACATCGACGCGCCGACGCTACGCTGACATTGTTTCTGAAGCAGATACTTCAACCATTTTATTTGACCGTTTACATGAAAAACAACGGTGTATGTTTTTTTTTTTGGATTTTGGTTTTGTTCCGAGCCGAGACACGCAACACTTGGTTTTTCAACTGATTATATTTAATGATACGCGAAATTTATTTTTATTGATTCGCGGCAATCGATTGCCCCCTCGAGTGTTTCATCCTAATGGTCATGATATGCGAATCGTGTGCTGAGTGACACTCGACGATTTGTCTACGAGGCTAATTCCGTCGATTTCAGTCGACCTTGGCAATGATGATCGCACGATGTGTCTAATGAAAGGGATCCTCCGGACGTGGGATTATCTGCGCCTGTGTGAGTATTGTAATGAGCCGGGTGCGTTCGAAAATGGTAATTTAAGAACCGGCTACGGGTAGACAATAATAATATAATGTGCACGATGCACGTAGAAAAATGCTAATTTATAAAACGGACCGTTTTTTACTATTATTGTTATTATCATCCACTTACCTAGACCTTAGATGTAAATGTGCTGCAGTGGCTGTTGCTGTCGGGGTACATAATAATGTACCTTTAGATGAGTACAGCTGAACGAACAACGCGTATAACCCTTTTTCCTGTACACCTCTTTCTCTCTCTTCGCGGTCATATACATACATTATAATATTATAATGAAACTAACGTGTAACCCTTTAATCGGGTCGCACGTCACACAGTACACGACCAGGTCTCAGGAAGATAACATGGTTCTCTGCCAACGTACGGATATTAGCTTAGGTTAACATCGATAGAATCTCTGCAAAGTCAAGTTTTTATATGGTGAGTAAAAATATTCATAAAAAAAATTTACACGGATATATTGATATTTATTTTAGCTTCGATGAAAAATATTTTTTCATATCATATGGTGTATTTATTCATTTTGAAATCAAACATTTGTAATATCACTGCCGTTTAATTGATTCCAAAAAATTATTAAGTATCATACTTAATTATTAAATTTAAATTTATACGCGTGTATTTTAGCCAATAATTATTTAAAAAAAAAAAGTATTAACGGTTCTGATATTTTAAAGCTAATTAAATATACATATAACCTTTGAAAAGTGATCCACGTGAAACATTTATTTATATTTCAATAAACTGATCATATGACCATTCTTCAATTTAATATTTATGATTTTTTAATATTTTTCTAAAAGTATTTTAGTTCACATAAGTAATTGTTAAGTTATAAATTCATTATGTTTTATACTAAATATTAGTTCAACCATAAATAATGTGATTAATTAAAAAACAAAGTAAAAGTTTCATTTTTCTGATCTTTTTCATTAATAAGTACAATAAATTCACACTGAAATAAAAATAATTCTATACATTTAAAAATAGAAAAGAAGCAATATGTACACTGAAGGTAAATTTATTTATAATTAAAATTACGTGATTTTGTTTTTCAAATATTTTAAGATACAAATTAATAATTTTTTACGGGCATCACTAGTACGCCATATTTCATCATGTGTAATATTGATTATGACTACTTTTAGACTTGTAACAAATTTACATGGCATAGGTCTTTAGAAATGTGTAGGGAAACAAATCGTATTAGACAAAATAAAAATGATCATATAATTTAACCAAAATAAAATCATATTATAGATACTGTTATTATTATATAATAGATAGATATTGTTTTAAATTCATTAATTTTTTATTTCTTAAGTAACCCAACCCAACCGAAAAATCGTTTTTATTAGTTTTGTTTTTAATTCCATATTATTTTCTGACTAATATACGTCTTATGTATATGATTACTTAGCAATTTTTTCTATTGATTAATATATCTTATTAATTTTTATCGTAATGAATTGATATAGTTATTTGAACGATTCGTCAAAAAACTAAAATCTATTTACTTTAAATAATTAAAAAAAAAAATCTATAAACAATACATTTTTAAATATTGAGTTTTACATATATTTTCAATTTATTTAGGCTTAATATAATTAACAACAAAAAAAAAATGAATTATTTTAAAGTCTAATATTTTATGAGGTTTTTGAATTTGATTTTGTTACAATAAGTTTTATGAATGTTAGATCTCTATCATATAATATCTCTAACATAAATCTGGTGTGTATCCAAAAACAAAGAATAAGTTACTTTTAATTTTTTATATCATATACTTTTAATATATAATAATAGATTTTTCAAACTTATATCAAAACAGAGTTGAATGAATATATTATTTTGTTTTCTATTTATATAAGTGTAATATTTTATTAAAGGCATACACGTGAGTCGATAAACTTTTCACCGCTGTAATATAAAAAATAAAAATGAAAATACGAAGAGCGAATGTACTTACTTATGTAATTTTTTTCGTTTTAGTATATTTTTTCCGAGAATTTTGAGAATACTCTTTGTTTTATAATGTATAAAGAAACAATATTTCCATTTTTTCTTTCTGTTCAGACTAACAAATGAAAAAACTATTCTTTTTTCTTTTTATTATTGTTGTTACAGTTTCGTACAATTTCCCTTATTCACGGAATTCTATCATTTTATTTGCTCTGTGCTTTAGTTTGGAACACTATAATATAATGATATGAGAAATGTGTGACACAGGAGCCGCGAATATTGTATTTCACAAAGACCGTTAAAAAGTATACGTCTTGTATTATTTTTCGAGAAATTATTTTGATATCGCAAGTACCGGTTATGACACGCCCGAGGCAAACTTTTTTATCATCTAATGATACACTTTTAGGTTTCCACACAACGCATAACACATACGGCACTGCGTAGTTATCCGAATCGAAACCAATGTCGGCCGCGATAATTCGTTTTGTACGATTTTGGAAGGTTTTTAAAAAACGTGAATAATATGTGTTATTTGATTGGTGACACGCGAGGTAATCTCTGAAGATTAACGTCGGTAAGAACGTTTTATGCGCCCGTCCAATTTGGCACGTCGCATTAACTTCGGGGGGAGTATAACGTTTGGAAGTCTTTGGATTACAGCTGTAGAGGCGAGCGCGAGGGGCGGAAGAAGTAATTTCCTGACACGGAGAGTCATTACGGACGAAGAATCAACGGACAAATCCTAACGATAATCTCGTTTGCGTTTCCACGCGACAACAGTGTGCAGTTTCTTTGGAAATAATTGGAAAATATTATCGTAGCAAACTAATAGAATAGGAGCTCGCCGAATGCGTTTTTCTCGTGCAGTACGCGTAGAACGACAAAATGGCCGACCGCCACCCCCGAAAAAAGGAACCGCGTACGAAGGGTTGGGTTGTGTCGTGAGCGTACAATCCAAATGTTTGTGCGACTCTTCCCCACACACACACACACACACACACTGCCTGCGTAGCACATAGTGTATACAGTTTAGTCTAGAAGAATATGTATACACACCGGAAATAATATCAGTTTTTCTTCGTATATATTATACACGTGTATTGATTATTCTGCCAACGGTGACTGAAAAGGGGTGCCGGCGTAGGTGGAGGAAATTCACGTGTGTGCTCCGATCCCTCGAATCTTTAACCCCACTGTACATATAAATATATATATATATTGCTCCTTTTTCACATACGAATGTGCTTGGCAATGTAATATGAAATATATCGAGAATATTTTCCAAAGGGCCGAGTCGATTTTCGTACACGTGTGCTCGAGTACCTACCTCAGCCTGTTACAAACCCTTATGGCGACGTTTGACTTATTACTCGTGTATATATATATATATATATATATATATATATATATACAGGTCGATGTGCTTAGTGAGAATTTTTTTAGCTAGCAGAGAGCAAACATTAAACTATCTATAAAAATGATTTTCGATGTTTAATTTCGTGTAGTAGTGTTACTTAAATATTTTCATATATGCGTAAAAATTCATTTCAAATATAACATTAAATGTCTTCATATAAAAGTAGGTGGGGATTTTCTAGAGACTTACACCCAGAGAAAAACCTCGATCTATATAATAAATTCATTGTTCAATTTGATAAATATATCATTACTATTGAACCTATGATATATTTATCAATATGATATATTTTTTTCTTGTCTTGAACAATAATTATTTATAAGAATAGTTATTTTGTTCGTATTAATAAAACATTATCATAAACCCTTGATAAAATTTCTCTATCAAAATTGATTGAGATTTTTCTTTGGGTGTAAATATATTTTGATGACTCTTAATCGTTTGCATGTATATACATTTATTCGTGAATTTCAATAATAAAAAAAACTTCAACGAGGTCATTCAATAAAAACACAAGATATTACACAATTAATGAACATTTATGATTGTAATAAACGAACGTTGTAAAGTATTTATTTACACTTACAATCCGCTTATCTGTAAAATACATTCTTAAAGTATATTTATTTTCATCGTAGGGGTTTCATACCCCTATCACCCCCGTGAAAACGTCCTTGTATAAAATCAATAGCAATACTTTCGAAATTAGTATTATCGAATCGAAGAAAATCTACTAGAGAAATAAATTTTTAATTTTAAAATCGAATCAACATACTATTAATGTTATCGGCAAATAACTATAAATCAAATGATGTATCGATATTTGGTACTTAAAAGTAACATATTAACGTTTTTCGCCAGATGACGTCATAAAAAATAAAATAACATTTTTCTGTGAGTATGTTCTGATTCAAGCAGCTTAACGTAATATAGTTAAAAAAGAGTCAAATTAGGAGTAATAATTTTTCGTTCGTTCCAGAATCACTATAAAATCGACAAATCATAAACGCGTTCCTGTTATTTTAATTACTTCGACGAGATTTGAATTTGAATTTAATCGTCGAGAAACAGTCGATAAGTTAGGATCCGTTTGATTGAACATTAAGTAATTTTTAATTATTTGGAAGGAACCCCGTCTGCTTATAATGTTAAAGTACAGCAGAAAACGATTAAATTTTGAATTAAAAATTTTATTTCGAGTATATAGTCAATGCGATAGTTTTTTCATTGTAAACAAAAATTGTTATTTGATTAAAGTTGAAACGTTAAAACGAATAGGTTATTTTTATCGTAATTATTAAAAGACCTCGTAGTGTTCATGTTTGTTGACATTAATTTTAATTGTAAACTTCATTGATGAAAATCAAACGTTCTAAAAGTTAACTATGAAAACATGACAATGATTTATCTTGATAATAATAAAGTTACCTTAAAAACGGGAGAAATCATTAAAACGATTCAAAGTGAGCCCATAAAGACTTGCGCGCCCGAATTTGTAACGAAAATGTAGTTGAATTCGAGGGACTCGTTCCAAGTAAAATGATGAGCGCAATGTAAAGAGACGACCGGTAACAATTGGGAACGCGAACAGACTGCTGTGCGACGTTTTAATAAGTCGCGTTGATTACGAACGATATTTTCAATGGATGAGCGAATACATTAAAACGGAGGGTAGCGGAGAAGACAATGCCGTAACATTATTATTGTTTTTCCGGGCGTCGCGCCGTGTTAATGACGGTGCTGCGTGACGCAGAAGTGGGTCGGTGGGGCAACGATCCGCTGTTAAATGAAAATAATAAAAAAATGGGTTAAAAAAAAAGAAAAAAGCACACAGAAATTATCGAGTAGAAAAAAAAAAAAAAACGCGGTGAAGAGAGACGGCCGTGTCGGGTAATGGCGCCGTCGCTGGTGCGGCGGTGGAGCGGAGGCAGTTGGAGGTGGTTAATGAAAAGAAATAACTACGCCCCCGTCAAACGCTCGGCGGCGTCCATTGGATGCACAAATTACCCTTTCTCCCCGCGCCACCGACATACTATAATACAACGCAGGGGTGAGATCTGTGTACGTGGAACATTAATGTACAGTCTCTAGTAACCTTGACACTGAAAACATGCTGCTACTGCCCACCACTACCGCTCGGCCGATTAATGACGATCGTCAATCCCCTCCTCCTCTCATACGCTTACACCGGTACATCACGAGCCACACATTATCATCTCAGCAACCATAGCGCTCTATAAGCGTACCTTTCTACGACACGACCACATACACACATGAGCGCCAACAACAAACCCCAAAAGCCGCCTTTTTCATTAGCTTATTAGTACACACTTTGCGTTGCACTGGGCTCCTACCTAATCGATCGCCTATACCGTTGGCGTCCCCATTACGTCTCCACGTCCTTCCTCGTCTTTGTTGACATTAACGACTTTCTTCTCTTGTGCAACAGAAGTGGAACGGTGCGAAAATTGTCTTGGCAACCAAGTTATTCATCTCGTGTAGTTATTACATAGAAATTGCATATTTTCATTTGATTGAGTCATTCATTAACTTAAACCGTTTCTAGGATTAAATCTATTGTTAAAATAGTTGTGTAAAAATATGAAGCTTGACGACTAATGTCAGGTCGATTTTGAAAAATGAGTTTTTTAGTGTTGAAGTTAAACATCTAAGATTAAATATACTTGATGAACCGCTTCTTACAGAAACGATTTAAAATCAGAAAGCTATAGAAAAACTGCAGAAAGCTTTATAAATAATTTCAAAAAAGTTTTATTGATAAGTATTATTTATTGTGCTTCTAATTCGATAGAGACGACACTTGTCTTTGTCAATAATTTACTCTGAACAACGAGTGTTACATTTGCTCATTGCATCAGTTACGTCGGTCTTCAGTTTAAACTTTAAAAAATAATAACGTGGCGTGTCCGTTCCGTTGGTTATCAGGGAAAACAACATTGACGAGAAATCTTTACGCGTCGTTGACACGGAAAATAACTATTATGTGATACCAAAAAAACTACTAAGTCCTTCATTTTATGTTTCAGGTGCGGCACCGGTAAAACACTAAGGCGAAGAACTGTCGACTCTTCCGGAGATCAAAGTATCATTATAGAGAAATATTTGTGTATTTTTCTAAAATAAACATTTGTAAACGTTTTATCTGGTGCGTTTTATTTTTGTCTATACAAAAGAAAACAAAAAGGACCCAAATAGATTTCCAATATCATACGTTTACAATATTTACTTATTAAATTAATACCATGAAAAAATTCGATATAATAATATTTTTGTTGAAATGAGTCGAGTACTTTCATTAGTCAATCCCACTAAAATAATATTTTTCATTTACCTGCTACAGTATAATAGGTGGTAATTGATTTTCTTATATGAATCAAATAGTGTGTTAATATGATATAAATTCTCTATTTTGTATTTCGTTATTGTAGTTTTTACCAAATAATGTTAGTTTTGCATACTATTGAAATAGAAAAAAATTTCCCCCGATCAGACATTTAATAAGACTAATAGGATTCTTAATACCAATGACTATCATACGATTCTACTGGGATATGTCAAAACACATTTTGCATTGTTAAAACTCTTTTGAACAATTGCTACGGAATGTATAAAATTTGTTAGCATTGAGCACAATAAAAAAATACAATTTTCGGAAAGCAATTAGTGATATGGACTCTACACTTAATATTGATGATGATTTTACGAGATTAATTCACTAACTTTTTAATCATTTTTTTTGGTATGTACAAAGCTATAGATTTCATTATATTCATATGTGAACACTGTGGTCTTTAACAAAAATGGGAAATAATTGTAAAATCGCAACTTTTGGAAAAATGAAATTGATATTTATTTTAATATCTAAGTTAAATGTTGTCCCATTTTTCATATGTAAAAACATATACAAATATAGGTTTTTATTTTTCAAAACAAAAATTATGTTTCATGTAAATGTAAATTTCATTTTTCCAAAAATTGCAATTTTATACTTCTCCCCTTTTGCCCGAACACCACAGATATTGTGTAAACATTTTAGGCATAGTTAATACCAAACTACAGTCAAATATGATTTTTATCGCTAGTTGAATTTATAGAATTTATTTAATTTCATCTAGAAAATTACATATATTTTTCATGTATGGACTTTGATTAGATATTTTCTATTAGGATATTCTATTATAAAATGTCAATAAAACTTAAATTTACATTAGTTAGTTTAGGTCCTTTTGTGTGGAGATGCATGACATATGTATTAGAAGTAAGCGCAGCTTTATTTTTTTATATTTTTTTGCTTACACAATTGTATTGAATCTAATATTGGGGTTATATAGTTACCGAATTTTCTACAAAGGCTCAGGGGTTGTTATGTACTGTAGGGAAGACCGAGTTCATCCGCATAACATGCATGTACACATAAATAGGAAATCGACAATGTGAGTAAAACGTGAAAGCTTCATTTTTTTAGCATTTTCTTCTTATTTCTTTTATACGTTCATATTACATTACCATACAACCATTCTCCCTTCGCATTATTCATATTGTATGTTGTTGTATAAGAGTGAGCACTATAAAAAAACTGCCAGTTGTCCTATATTGAAACTATGTGAATTGAAGGGGTAGTAATGGAAAAGCATAAATTGGAATCTTATTTAAAATAGGTTTTGGAATATATTTTTCTTTTTATGCGATGGATGTTGTATATACGGGCCGAATATAACAGATAACATTTTTCTACCACGCAAAAAAACTAGCGGCGATCAATTACTTAAAGTCATGATTTTATGAAATTGTCTACGTTGAATTTGCATTCCAAAATGACGTTGTCAACAACCAAAAACAATAAATATCAACAAAGCATGTTTTTAATATTATTTTGATGCAGATTTTATTTAATAATTGTTAGGACATGAATGTTTCTCATAAATAAGTTGCATTAACACCACAGACGAACATATTGTCTGGCCTAAAAAGTTAATCGGATACAGTGGTGGTATTGAGAATACTGAAAATGGAAAAGATGAACTCAATTTGTTTTACCAAGAAAAATGCAAAATCTCTTTGAACAATATTATGGATGATTTATGTTAAAAAAACGGAAAAAGCAACATCAAACCGTCAGAATTCAGTTTTAAATGCTTTTAACTTAAACCCAATCAAAACACAAAGAAAAACGACAAAGCTCCGATTTATGTTTTATTTTTGATACAATTTCCGGATATCCGATTGTACTTGTTTTTTCTTTTTTTGAGTAAATTATAATTTCAATATAATATTATGTAAGAGACTAATAAAATACAACTGAAAGTTAATATTGTTGTTATTGAGTTGAAATAAAAATTTAGTATTGCTCCAAATTAATTTTGATATTTCAGTCTTTTTAGTTAAAAAAAAAATCATTAAAAATTCTTTTTTTATAAGAAGTATAAAAAAACATTTAGAAGAATGTTTTTTTTTANAAAAAAAAAATCATTAAAAATTCTTTTTTTATAAGAAGTATAAAAGAACATTTAGAAGGATGTTTTTTTTTATTCAAAAATTTGTTTTAATTTTTGCTTTGTGGATATAAAAGTTATCGAAATTAGAATACAAGTTATGAAAATCAGAGTAAATTAATTTTCAAAAACTAAACCTTTTCGCTATAATATTTAATGTAAATCAAAAGTTATTTCTATACTTAATAACCGAACAGGTATTTTTAATTGAATTTAATAAATCATTTTTTAAATGTGTATCACATTAGCATTGAATTAAGAAGTAGTTTTCTAAGAGGTATAAAACTCAAAAACAAATGTTTCTATTCATACATATTTTAATTTATAACACTGGTGATACTTGCAATTTAAAAGTTTTTTGTAGTTGAAAATATTGTTGCTACTATAATTTCTTTCTAATTTTTTCCAAATTATGATTTTTTACTTTCTTTAATCTCTTTAGATATACGATAATAATAAATGAATAACATTTATATGGCAATTATTTTCACTGTATTCCAATACTTATACTATTTTTTTAATTACATTTTTTAAACAAATAATAATGTTTTTGTTTTTACAAAAACTTTTTTCTTATTTTATATTTAAATGACAGTTATAATAAAATTAAACAATTAATTTTACATGTATTATATAAATACATATTATATAATTAAATGATTATATTATTATTAATAATTATAATTATGTTCAAAGTATTATTATAAAGACATATGTTTATATTATTTTTAAATATTTAATAAATTTAAACTCAGGAGTACGGTTATAATACTGTAGTGTTTTGACTATATAATAAGATTTAATTCTTAAATGTGTCAATTATTTTCATTGTTTTTTAATAAATTGTCATAATTATTTTTAGGCGCAACTAGAATTCAATTTTTGAGAGTACTACTTGTATTTTCTCTGCACCTTTATACTTTATATAACAACTTGTAAAATTTTTGAAACTCCAATTTTTTAACTGGTATAAGCTAGGCCCCCATAAGCACCCCTAGTTACGCTAAATCATTTGAATATAAACCGATTTATGAAAAATTAAATTATATTGTTTCAGAATAAAGCATGAAAAATTCCATATATTTTATTAACTTTTTTTTAATAGGTGTCGATTTATTTTAATGGATTAGGAAATTATTTTTGTTTTATTTTATAGTAATTCAACTAATATGTGTTTTAACAGCAAATACATGTATTTATATTATGTAATTTCTATTACTAACTGTATGCACNTTAACAGCAAATACATGTATTTATATTATGTAATTTCTATTACTAACTGTATGCACAGTTTGTTTTTCATGAATTTAAATCAATATAAAGTATTCTGAATTACTGAGGAATTTTTTTTTTTATAATTTTAACTAACTTAAGTGGTTAAAAGTCGAACAATAAAAATGAATGTGGTTTTGGGATTATTAACATGTTTAGGTCAAATATTAGCAATGCCGACAAATCATGAGAGTTTTAATAATAAGGTATGTTAAGCCATTGAAGTATATAAATAAAAATAAGATATTTAAAAATTAAACTAGTGTAATAGTTATTAAATCTTTGGATTTTTATTAAATTTTTATCATTTTTTATTGTATAATAATCAATAATAGAATATTTACACGCATAAAATACTGTTAATATTCTAAATTGAATACAACNATAATAATCAATAATAGAATATTTACACGCATAAAATACTGTTAATATTCTAAATTGAATTCAACTTATACATACAGAGTGATTGAAATATTCTAAGACACTCATTATCTCATAAACTATAGAAAATTTTAAATATTTGTAAAGAGAAAAAACATTTAATTCAAAAAACCTAACAATATTATGTAGTTGTGTATATTATTTTATCCCTTTAGAGATAAAAATCCTTAAATTTAATTTTCTTAAATGGAAACCATAATTTTCATTTGATAATATGATAAAAAAAAAAAAAATAAACAAATTTTATTCTTATAATTTTTTTTTTCGATCAACCATTTGTGTTTTATGGTAGTCTAAAGATTTGAAATTAAGTAAAAATAAATGGAGTGACTTTAGAAGATAGGATAAGGAACAATCATATTGGAGGGAGTATAGGTGTAGTGTCAATTGAGGATAAGATGAGAGGAAATAGACATAAATGGTTTGGCCATGTTATGAGGAAAGAGGAATCGGAAGCTATAAGAACAGTTATGGAAATTAATGTTGAAGGAAAGGGAGTAGAGGCAGTAGCGGCTCGTGGCTTGGACGACGGGACGATCGCACCCCCTACTAAAATTAATTAATAGAAGGAAATTAATTGTATATTCTCAATTCTACAATTTCATTAAAAATGCAAACTTTTAAATAGTAAAATAGTTATAATACATTTGTGGTATGCGAACAGTTGTTACCCTCAGTTATACGCATGCGCACACCAGCAGTATTTGGACGACCGGCAGCGTCGTCCGAGCATTATGCAGAAACGTATACTTTTAGCGAGAGACCCAATCGTGTGCGGTTAAGCTGCGACCTTATGTACATGTTTTGGACGACCGGCAGCGTCGCCCATACGATAAAATATTAGTATATTACTACATTGGGTAATTTATTTTTAGATTAACTACGTGTACGCTTATCGGTTGCTATATTAGTATATTTGCTATTATTATTTTCATTTCTATTTTCTACAGCGACCTTTAAAATAATAATATGTGTATTGCGTTTTATTTTATTATATTTAATATGAAAATTTTTTATACCTATGTATAGCGGCATTATATTTAAAGTCGCACCCGACCACCAGTAGCCACTGGGTAGAGGAAAACAAAAAAAAAAAAAAAAATGGAGGGATTTATCATAAAAGAGATTTATGTTTGAATACTAACTTAAAAGAATTGATAGAAGATTGGATACTCTAGATGTAATAAAAAAATGTAACTTATTAATGTTTATAAATACTCGTTTTTCAATCAGTAACTTCAAAAATGAGGTAATAGAGAAAATCTAATTTCAGACTTGAAATTAAATTAAAAAATGGGTTTAGTAAAGTATATTTAATATAATCATATGATTTTACTGTGTAATTCAGTGTAAAAACAAATTTTATACTCCTATTGATTTTTAGCTTCGATGCGAAGCTGAGACGGTATTAATTTTACCATGATGTGTTTATTTATTTTTTTCACTATTTTTTCTCAGCTCNTTACCATGATGTGTTTATTTATTTTTTCACTACTTTTTCTCAGCTCTCTCTCGACCGATTTTTCTCAACATTACGCCAAAAGATCACAAATTTATCTTCTATGTAAAAATGGTTGCCGTAGATAAAAGACATGCAATTTTGGTGTTAAAATTTACGATTTCATATTTTATTTTTTCAACTTTAAATTACTATAACTCTTTGAAAAATGTATGAATTAATACAAATATTACTAGGATTTAAAACAGCAACTTTTGCACACAAATTAAACTTTTTAAACTTAATTTTTGAAATAGCTCCTGAAATTCTCCGACCTTGAAACATTTGGCTAATTGAAGTTTATGTTATATACTATGAGTTATAGAAAAAAAATTGGCTTGATGACTTTATTCTATATGTAAATGTACTCCAAATTTAGACAAAAAATATTATTTTGATATACAACTGAAATATTGAAATATTCTGTACAGTTATATCGTATAGTTATATTCTATAATATATTAATATTCAGAAATATTCCGGGCTAAGTTTCACTTATGGTTTTGTCTGCTAATGTGTAAAAATTGGTTTAGAATCAGTATATTTTTGTCACTGATTAAAATTTTTTATAGACCAGAGGTTATTTTAAATTATCTTTGGAAAAGTTTTTCATCAATCACTTAAATTTTTATAGATCTTTTTCACAAAAGTAATGAAATATACAACTACTTTATAATTTTTTATAATTTCTTCGTAAAATTTACAATAATAAATTATTGAATATCAATATCATACTAAGATTAATTATTATAATTAAAACTCAAAATTACCTAGTATTTATTTATATACTATACTTATAAATTGTAAAACTTGTAATCGGTATATAAATAAGGTAATAGGGTTTCTTTTTTTTTTTTTGTATAATCCATCGATTTTTTAAAATTAAACAGTATTGTCAGATTTGCATCGAAGCATTTCTTATGATAGTGACTTTAATCACTGTAAGTTATTATCTTTGCTTGTTCCAACGGGCGTTCATCGTTTCCGCCAAACCGATAGTTTATACCTATCTACAAATCGAAGCTTGAGAACCACTGGATTCAATATTTTCAAAAGTAACCCGATAATAATTATCTACTTTTTACATTTAATCGAACTTTTTTCTATTCTATTATTGTTAGTTAGATAACAATGCATTTATAATCGGTATATCGATAAATATTTTGCCATCCATTCTTTTTTATTTTACTTTTTTAATTAAAATGTCATTTGATTATATCAGAAGTAAGCGGATACCATTAAATGATTTTATTGAATAACTTTAAGTTTCGTTTTGCATATAAAGCAATACAAACGGGTAACATACGTTGGTGTTGTTTTGTAAAAGAATGCAAAGGTATCATTCATGTCAATGAGCTTGATAAAATTATTGATCAAACAGGTATTTATTAAATTTTTAATAAAATCGATTAAAGTTGATCTTATTTTAAATTAATTTAAATGTCTTATAAAACATACATGTAATGTCCCTTGTTCTGATCTCATAATTATGAGACAAAAATTAGCAGTTGCTTGTAAACGCGATGCTGTAGACGATATTTGTCTAACACCGCAAAAAATAATTTAAGGGGATATTCAATCATTAAGTAATAATAATTTTACGGCAACGGTTGTATCATGTATTCGCCAAACTATTTATCGCACTAGGCGACTATTTTTACAACTTATCCAGCATCTATTAGTGAATGACATGTAATTATTGATGATAACATAGAAATATTAACTTAATGGTGCGGAGAACAGTTTGTATTACAAACGATCAAGAGAAAAATATTTTCTTGTTTCTTGTTTTTAAATTATTTTTTCTTGTGATACAAACCTCAAATTTCTTTGTAATTCTAAATCAATATATGTTAACAGAACTTTTCTGTATTGCCCAAAATATTTTGAACAATTATTTACTATACACGAATATATAAACAATTACTATGAATCATTTGTTTGTTGTTTATTAAAAAATAATTTTATAGAAACTTATAAAAAAGCTTTTGAGGTTATAAAATATAAATGCACTGAATAAAATTTATTGCTGTATCCTGACAATATTACTGTCGATTTTGAAGTTTCTATTCACATTTTAATGAACAATTTTATAAGGCGCATCTTTCTATTAATATATTTTTATAAATTTTAATAGAAAATCTTTATAACTTTATTAAAATATATGTTTCTAATAATACAGTCTCAAAAAGCGTACGGATTAAAATTGAAATCTGTTTCAAAAACAAAAGAGGCAATTGAAAAATTAAATAAAAATAAAATTAGCCGATTTGAATGTATGAAATTAGTTTCCAACAACTATTGAAAAATGTATAGATGATAGATCTATTTTTTATTTTATTATTACACGTATTAGATATTTTTTAAGCTTATTATTAATATTTGAATTTTGTTTCAATGTTTTGATGACTTTTTATTTTCTTACAAACTATATTTTTATTATTTATTACAAATATATATATACTTAAGACAGTTATCTATTATGATTTATTTACCTTTGGTAAAACGTCATATTTTGTTTATAAAAGTGTACCTATGTGATAAAATAAGTAATTATTGAAAATGACGTGATGGTGGAGGGAAAAAAATATTGTAAAAAATTACTTTATTTTGCTTATTAATATTAATACCCCACGCAAAAATCTTAAATACAGACCTGAACGTAACTATGAATTTTTTAACAAATTAATGTCAAAAATTTTAATACAGGCAGCTGCCTACCATAAAGCTAAATGGTTCTTAAATTTTTTAGTAGATAGACGGGTAGAAGGTTAGTTTGACGTAAACGAAAATCTACCGTCTCAACTATTGCACGTCCCCACTGTGCTACCGCTTTACAAAATTAAAATGTTTTAATTCTACCTAAAAATTAACAAAAAAAAAATAAATGTTGATAACCTTTGTCCTTTGTTTCTAATTTATTGCAAAAGACAATTAAAAATTCTCAAGTTGATTTTATAGGATATATTATTAAATAGAAATTATAGAACAATGTTAATTATAGAACAGCAGGCACGTATTCAGAATCAATTTTCGGGGGGGTTAAATTTTTAATACATAATAAGTAATATTAATGCATATTACAAAAAAGTACATAATTATATAATTATAAAATGAAAATATTTTGCAGTACTAAATATATAATAATTAAAAATTTTATTACAATGAAACTAATGAAAAAAAAAATTTTAATCATAGAACAAAGTCAACCACCTTACGTGGCATTTTGGAAAATGTATTGATAATTTCTTCAATATTTAGTGGAATGTTTCGGTGGACTGATAATAAAGCTAAACCTGTTAGACGATCTTCATCGCAGTTATTCCTCAAAGATGTTTTTAATCGTCTCAAAGTTGAAAATGAACGTTCTGCTGAAGAAGTCAACACTGGGAGTGTTGCAAGTATTGATATTAAACACCAAATGTTTGGATAAAGATTTTTTGACATAACGTCTAAAGTATCGATTGCTAATTTCGGTAATTCTTTATTTGGTATAGCTTTCCATTTTTCCATCCAGACCTTCAATTCTGATTCAAATGTTTCATAAGTAGGTAATTATGTTTTATAAATCTTTCAATTAATTGACTTTTGAAGAAGTTTAAAAATGGCCAAAAAATTGATGTCCTATAATGTTGTTCAGGTGAATCAGCTAACAGAGTATTATAAAAATGTATAGAATGCATAATTACTTGTGGCATTTTAAATGTTTCGTCTACCAAGCTGAATACGTTTTCTACTTCTAAAAATAATTTGTGGAATTCTACCTCACTATTTTCACGAGTAGGATGAATAACTTGAACACAGTTTTTGACATATTCACAACACTCAAATAAATCTACATTTATTCTTTGTTGAGATTTACATAGAGGCAATGTTATATCGAATAATTTGTCTGTAACGTACAATGAAATTACAAATGAACTTGAGGTAATAGTTTTTGAAAGTTGAAATGCAAGTTGTGATATTTCTAAATTATAATAATGTTCGAGTTCCCTTAATGTGTTTGTTATTGGTAAATATAGTTCCTTAAATCGTAATAAGCTGTCATGGCGTTCAACCCAGCGGGTTTCACACATTTTTAAAAGCGTTTCGTGACGTGTGCCTGGAATTAAGTCTTTAATAAATTCATAAGAACTTCTGACCTTATTAGAGATTTTAGAAAGAATGAAGCAGTGGAAATTATAGATCCAATACAATTTCTAATCTCGGGAATATTGCACGTTTTACTTATGGCGAGGTTCAACGAATGGGTGGCACAATGAACGTATAAAGCTTGAGGTAATATATCACATATATTTTTTTGAACTCCATTATATATACCACTTATTATAGAAGTTCTATTCTAACCTTGACCCACTAAAAGTTCTTTTTTTAAACCTAATTAATCTATTTCACGTATTATTGTGTGAGCTAATCCTTTTCCTGATGCGTCGTAAATAGGATCAAAAGTTAAAAAATCTTCCCTAATACGATCTTCAATGTACCGTACACACAGTGACATTTGTTCTATTCGTGATATATCGCAAGTTTCGTCTGCTAAAATTGAAAAAAAAACCCGCATTTTTAACTTTGGTTACTATCTGAGTCTGAATGAATGTACCACAAATATTTATTAACTGGTTTTGTATAATAGGGCTTACGTGCACAGTATTTTCTGTCGCATTTTCTAAATGAGCTTTTAGATTAAGATCTCCAGATTGCACTCTAAATCTTAACAAAGATCTAAAATTTCCATTATTGTTATCAGCACTAGAACTAAGAATATGTCCACATTCATTATCTCCCCTTGGTGCCAATTCTTGATGATCACATAAAATAATTTTAGTTTCGATAATTGGGAACAGTTTAACACGATTTTCTAGATCTAAGTTTTTATGAGCTGAATCGATAGCTATAGAAATATCGGGTTTTTTACAATTCATTACTTTTAGAAATTCATCCATACGTAAAATAGACAATTTATGGTATTCTGCATTAGAATGCAATTTAAGACATTCTACAGCAATTTTCCGTTTAATAAAAGGTTTACTTACTAAAGCTCCCACTTTTTGATTAGAACCTTCTCCGATGCATTCATTAGAAAATAATACACATATTTTTCATAATGCTCCTTCTAATTTCTGAGAATAAGTTAACCAATGAAACCGTGTTAATCAAGACATTTGGAATTTCTATTTTCTTTTTGACACCACCGAAAAATTATAATTTGTTGAAGGCACCCATGGATTTTTTATTAATTCGTACTTAAATTTATCATCAGTTATTCTATCATCTACATACCATCCAATATCTCGAAGTTCTAGTATTCTTCTGGTAGTTCTGGTGGTTTTGTAATGGAAGTAACTAAATCTGAATTTAATTGATGGTTTTTCTTATGAAAAAAATTAAAAATTGATGACTGAGATGGCATATTTCGTTTCATTTTTTAAGAAATGTATAGGATAAAATATTAATACAAAATACCTATGCTGTTAACAGATACACAGTTAAAATAATACAAGATCGAATGAATTATTAATCATATATGTTAACAAAATACTTCTGAAAATATGACTAAACGGGCAAAAAAACAGCGAATTATTGTAGTTATAAACTGATAAAATCCATCTTCCGATTATTGGACTCAGATAAGATAATGTCTGTCATTTTTTAAAATTTAAAATAATGTCAGACTAATGGGCAATTGGGAAATGTACAAATGCTTAAAATTTTAATACAAACTGTAGATGTACAATTTTATATAAAGCTTGTTGTTTGTTATATTATAATGAATAAACATTCTTTTAAAATTTCGGGAGAGGGGTTTGAGCCCATAAAACCCCCCTGTATACGGCCCTGTAGAACAGCATTTATTCTTTTAAAGATTAGCGTGAGACATATCAATAGACCTGTAGTATCTTTATTCAATCATTTAATTAAGTGTTTCTAAATTGTATTATCTTATTTTAAGAAAAAATGGTTTCATTCATATTTTTCATTTTTAATTAGATTATTATTTGTCAATAATTAAAGAATTTTTAAAATTACAGAATCTTGTTCATGCTATACTTAGATTTCAAGAGGTAATTATTAAAAAATTATATTCTATTTTATTCAATGCAATTTTTTTTTCGTATTATTAATGTGTATTTAATAATATAAACATTGTTTTATAAATATTTTAAAATAATCGTATTTTATAGACATTTATCTAACTAATGTAATCCTTTATATTATACAACTTTTTATTTGACTATTTTAGAGCCGTCATCCAAGAACAGATGAGCTAGTTAAAAGGATGAGTAATTTTTTGTCGTTTTTTGATCAGAATAAAAGCGGTAAAATAAGTCTTAAAGTTTTTTTAGCTCTTGCAAGGTATTTAGGTCAAGACACAACACACTTGTCAAAATCTGGATTAAGTAGTAATAAAAATATTTTAATTTTCTCTAGTTTAATTTATACTCATTTCATACTTACTCAGAGTAATTATGAATTGAATGAGGTTAGGATAAGTTACTCTAACCTCATTTAATGATGTTTATGTATTTTCATACGGATGCATTATATCCAAAAAATGAATAGGTGTATTAATATGATTTGAACCCCTTTAAATTTATTTATATATATAAATTTTCATTAGTAAGATTCTTCTTAGGTATAAAAGAATATTTGAAGTTCAAAAATGTATTCTTATCATTTTAGTGGATTCAATGATTAATATTAACACTCTCGTGGAGATGACTACTTATCCAATGAAAATGGTAGAAGAAAAGTTGTTAGAGAGTTTTAGACAATTTGACACCGAAATAAGTGGTTACATTAGTTTACCTCACATGCGTAGCTCATTAAATAGTGTCGGAATTGATGATAAGTACATATCAATTATACTCTTGAAGCTTGATTTTACAGACGAAAAACAAAATATTAATTATTCAGGTAATTATGTAACTTGAAGTACAGTAATAGCATAGATAAAGTACATTTCATTAAATCTTAATTCCATAGGTAGAGAGAAACAAATAATTTATGTGTTGTATAAATAGCATATTTAGAAAAATAAAGTGAATATATCACAAGAGAAAAAATTGAAGAGCTCAGTGTGTTAGCTAAGTAAGTGGATTCTATTCAGAAAATCATTTTTCGTTAGTTTTAATCTAAAATAATTTCTGCATATCTGAGTGAAAAAATTCTGTTATTTATAAGTTATTCGAGAGAATATATAATCATGAAAAGTCATTCTACTATTGCTATTATAGGTAAGTATTTCAGAAAATATTTTTTTCTAAAGAAAGTCAAAATGTGAACCTAACTGGTTGTTGCACTGAGCTCTACAATTGATTGTTTTGAATATATATTGTTCATATTTTTTGTATTTTAATAAAATGTTTTATAAAATTTTCAGACTTTTTGGATTTGCTGATAACTTTTTAAGAATTTTTGAAGATTTGGTTCTAATTTTAAGCTTACAAGTTGATAATATAATATTTTTTTTAAATAATTTGATGGTTAAATATATAATTAGAGTCATATTTATATGATTATAACAATTATTGTTTTTATATGTTATTTTAAAAATATAAATAAAGATAGTAAAAATTTGTTTAACTTAAGCGTCAATGTGTTACTGAGATAATATTGGTTTTACAAAGTCATGGTTTTTTTGTTCATTCATATGAATACTTTACTTCTATAGGATTAATTTTGACCAACTATACGGCAAAATACAAAAGATCGCATCTATCTGAAGCAATAATTCAGAAAAATTCTCCCCAATTTCTATAATAAAAGGAAATGTCCTCAAAAATACTATTGTTATAAAATAGTTATTATTTATATTTTCAGTTTGTATNTGTTATAAAATAGTTACTATTTATATTTTCAGTTTGTATTTTATATTGAAGTATCTTTTTGAAAACTAGACAGATTATCATGAAATATTATTGACAATATTTTAGACATTTATCATGTTGACGACATACTTTTTATGGAAATCCAAACATTAACCCAATTACTGAGCGGGGTATTTCTGCATCATGTTATCATGTTATCATGTTATCATTTTTTCTTTTTATTATTTTGTTAATGTTCAACAAACATGCGTCCTTTAAACTTATGACCAATTAAAGTAATATTATATAATAAAGCGATAATCTATAAATAATTGTTATTAACGTACAGTACATGTCAATTAAATTTGATTACAAGTATTATTTGAAATGCTTACAGTTTAAATATATTTTTCGAAAAAACATAATTATTTTACTATATTTTAAATTGTTCGAAATAAGCTAAATTGTTCTATTTATAAGAAATTAATTTAACAATAGAAATTATTTTTGGCTTTAAGCTTGTATTATATTGTTAGTACTACACTTTCATTGCTGCTGCAATTAAATCATCATTAAATATGGATTTTTACTATTGTTTTGGAATACTACTTTGTTTTATATGTTTTGGTATTACCATATCGATTTTTTCATCAGAAAAACACCGCTTTCCTAAAGGAATCACTTACAATGAGTTAAAGAAGTATTTATAATATTTATTATTAGTTATTACAATAAGTACTATTATTTAGTGGCTTGAGTGCCTTTTTTTATACATATAATTATCATTGATAATCTGCTTAAAAATATGTTATACTTGTAACAGTTATATATGGTCTTAAATATAATTCAATTTCATATCAAACTCCTCATATAATGGACGTTTTGTAATTTTTGTACATTATCACTCGCATAATATTGAATTGGTGGAATAACAAGTTCCCTTTAGCTAATCTTCCAAATTCCAATTAGTCGCTAATGTATTAAAAGTTAAAAACCAATAAATGAACATGTGTAGAAAAATTAATCANAATCTATTAAAAGTTAAAAACCAATAAATGAACTTATTTTTTTCTCATTTAATTGAAACCTTTTCGCGTCCTCGTTGTAAGTGTTATATGTATATCATAAATGTATGTAAAACTTGTTCTTCTATACTGAAACTATTCGACTAATATATTATATGAAATATCTTAAATAACTTGTATAATAAAAAGGTAATGTAAGTGCCAATCTATAAAACTTAAAGACGCTTCTATTTTAGTATTCAATTTTGTGTAGTAAAGTATGTTTGATAGGAAATTGTTTACAGTTTTTAAAATTGTCAACTTTTTAAAGTAATCGTGTTCATAACTAAAATAAAAGTTTCGTTATATGATCAAAAAGCAATAAAAACAATTTTAGTAATTTAATTAGCAATTAATTATTTAAAATCAAAAAAAAAAAATTTTAATTTTTAAAGAATAAATATTTTACAATTTTTTTATTCAATGATCGTTGTTTTAATCTAAAGCTAAGCATATTAAGTGGCATGCGTAAAAATATATGTATAGAAAAAGTATGTAGAATAAAAAATAGAGTATGTAGAAATATATTTTTTCATATTATTATGCAAAAAATTGTCTTATTTCATAAAAGCTTGAAATAAGGAATTTATGGCTAATCCGAGTAAATAAAATGAAGTCTCTCAGACTAATAACAAGTATCAACTTTATTTTATTAAATGATAACGTCCATTTTTAATTAGCGTTTAAAATAGGAAATTATCAAATTATAAAATGACTTATTGAAACCAAAATTATAAAATAAAATCTAATTAAATGGCCTATTACAACTTTTGACCCATTGTTTTAGAAGTTACTACCATTTTAAAATATAGACTGGAGCTGAATGCAGCTACTTTTATCATAAAACATTTTTCGATCTCACCTAACCTGCCGCTTAGGTATAAAAGTTTTAATAAGTAACTTCTGAAATATTGGTCTAAAAGTTGTTATCAAACAGTAGTTTTTTAAATTAGATTATTATCTAATAAATAACTTAATTATGTATGTTTCCGTTTAATAACAAAAGTTAATATCCTTATCAAGTATGAGGGGTGAATAATTAATTAAATTTATTATTTAAAAGTAACTACTAAGTGATAAATTAGAATATATATAAGAATAAAAATTATGAAAAAAAATTGATTTTTTTTAACGTTAAAAGAATCATACTATATACAAGGCCATTAGTTAAGATTATAACAACAATTTTTTTGGAAAACATTTAAAATTTTTTTAAGGAAATTATTGTTTGATTCAAAAAACTCTATAATAGTAAATATAATTATAATTTTTTTTCATCCATTCAGGAATAAGAAATCCAAAATTAAAATTTCATTAATATTTAAACCCTTTTTTTTTAGTTTGATGGAAAAAAAAATATTCAAAGATTGTATTCCTATAACTTCTTTTATCAGATCAACCATTAGTGTTTTAAAATTGCTTAATTGGAATTTAAATAAAAACTTATCATTCATTTAGTTTTCATTATACAGAATGCATAATAATTCAATATAATATGAACCATAAATGATTTATAAAGTAATTATCAAGAAAAATTTTCCATATCGGTCATTTAACAATATACGATAGAAAACTTGTGTTGAATATTAAAGTATTTTATTATATAATAGAACAAGTAAGAATAACGCTTTCCTGGTAAAATAACTTAATATGCACTAATTTGTAATTTTTTTTTAAAAATTAAACCACTTGGTCACATGATTTTGCAAAAATTATTGCCGTGTGTCAGAAATTTGGCCACTTTCGATAAAAACGCTCGCTGACGTCGACATTTTGCGACTTGAGGTCTGAAATTTTCATCAAATCCGCTCAAACACATCTGAGTTATGATATAAAAAAAATGTTTAGTCCCTTAATTTTTAACGTTCTGTGAGCTATAATTTTTTTAATCGCTGGGGACATCAGGCCACGCCATCTGCATTTTAAGCCATGAAAACGATTTTTTTACAATACTATCTTAATGGTCTTACAATTATGTAAATTGTAAGACCATTAAGATACATGTAGTACGAGGAAGTTAGAAAAATCTTTTTTTTTTTTAAATCAACGCACATATATTTATTTTGTCTTATTATAATTACGCATGTATATGTTTAAGGTGTTATTCCTTACATTCTTATTTTGTGAATTCTAATAAATTTAATAGTAATATATCGTACTAAATCATTTTTTTTTTATAATATTGAACTATTTGTGAATTTAATTTTAATCATTGATATAATTTTCATCTACGAATTTTTTTTTCATAAATCTCAGTTACAGTTTTGTTTTCTGAAAATAGTTTATTTAGTTATTAGTGGCATTTTCGAGTAAATAAATACAATTAAAAATATACCGATTTGTTAATTTGAATTTATAGATACTTTACAAAATTAAGTGTTATTTTTAATACATATTATTGGGTCTTAGAGATAAATTCACATTAATCAAAATCTATTTTTTAATATTATTATGAAAAAACAAATTTTGTTTGAGCATGCTATCATTATATTCATAAATTTTTATTGATAAATGAATACAAAAGTACAAAAAATTTATATACATGAACACAATCGTCATATTGTAAGATATCTAAAAATAATAATAAATAGAGGACCTAAAAAAAATATGTACAATTTGCCATAGGCGCTTATGGCACGGCGCACTTTAATCAACGCTGGCCCAAAACATTATAAGTAAATATACTCATTACCAGGCCCGAAGGGCTAAGAACAAAAGGCTGGTTCGACCGACGCCACGAAAAACTAAACAATTTACATAGCTACAATGTAGCAGACACTCGTTAAAAAAATATATAATAAATAGACAAAATAAAAGTTGCAGCACACGCAACTAAAATTTGCCGTTACAGACAACAACCAACAAGATGGTTAATTTCCGATAAAATGCCGGACGCTCGGCCCCTCAGTCCGATGGAGACACTTCGGCTAGTCTTTGGAGGTAGGGCTGTACGAAATTATTAAACAGTGTCGGAAGTCGACAAGAATATTCTGTTTAATATTTATCATAAGGTAACATTGCAGGTGGTGAGCATCGCAAATGACGTTCAACATAAGAAAAAAGCGGGGCGAGTGTACACACAATTGCTGTCCATGAACCGGTCCGAAGTGATAGTGTACTATCTCGCACGCCTGCAAGCAAATCATAACACCTTATCTGGTGATTATTTAGATGATAAACGCCGTCGTAGTTACGCGTAGCACGTACTCTGCCCAGCCAAAATAAATTTTCAAATATACGAAAAATGAAGATGTGCCTCTTTGTTTCGTTACAAACTAAAAATAGGACTTCTCATTACTCATTAAATTGAAAAAAATTAATTAATTAAGTTTTTCTCTGTAAAGGAATGAAATAATAATGATTAAACTACATATTAATGTAAAGTTTTTTTAAATCAAATAATATTTTCCTCGACAAAAATTTAAAATTTTCAATTGTTTCCAAGAAATTGATTGTCTTATTCTTAATAAATCAACCTATATAACATAAAAACTATATTTCCAAATAATATGTAAAAATAAAACATATTTTTAATTTTGAATTGTTACATTTTTCATAAGTAAAAAGAATTTTCATTTAATACACAGATTTTTTTCTTTTTTTTTTAATATATTTATATAATTAT